AGATGATCTTGACTAATCCCATGACCTGAATGACATCATACAAAAGGCGGCCGACTTGAGCGATTCACCAAAAGGCTTCCGCGCGAAGAGCAGCTCATAAAATATAACGCCGCAGCTCCAAACGTCCACCTTATTGCTGATCTTAGCGGCCGAAGTGTCGAAGCATTCAGGAGGCAAGTACCAATACCTGCATGACAACCGTGACCAGCAGTCCAGGACCACTACCAGACTACGTCCCAGTGCCGAGGGAGGTGAGCTCCACCGTGTCGTGGTTTTGATGTTGATCCACTTGCTTCGACAAACCAAAGTCCGTTATTTTAATATTCCCCTCGTAATACCTGCCCGAGCTATCCCCTTCAGCAAATGCCGTACTCACTTTACATGAGGTTCCCTGGCTTCAAATCGTAGTGAATGATCTTATGACCAGCACTGTTCATGTATCTACGTGCAGCCATACTGTGGTCAACGTTCATGCTGGGTCCATACCGCAGTCCACTGAAGACCTGGACCATGATGCCCCTGGCCTCCTTCTCCGGTATCGGCCCATGAGCCTTCAGGTAAGTGTCGAGATCAACGCCCTCGCAGAACCTCAACAAGGACCAGTCATGCCCACCCAGCTAGACTAGGACCGTAGGAGCTTACTCGAGGACTGTACCGAAGGAATGGCAGTCTATAGGGAAGTAGTCGTACAACTGTATAATTCGACGGTGCTTCAGCCTCTTGTGAATACCATACCTAGCCTCACCCTAGTGTCTGACCGCGAACCCCACAGCGACTCACTCTCGCCATGTGTGTCTAACATAAGCCTCACGAGCTACCTCGGTCATGTCTGGGCGAATCTGATGGATCTTCACAGCGACGTAACTGATGAAGGACAGCCTTCCGCCGAGGCCCTACTGAACAAGCCAGCTATACGACCTGTGGGTCTCCAAATCATAAGCCTTGAATACTTCCGAGAATCCTCCTTTTCCAATCATGGTCATCAACTGGTACCTGATCCCCCACTATCGCCATTACAGTTGCCAATCCCTGAACCAAAGCCATAATCACCTCCCCGGAAGGAGGCCGTCAGTGCTCTTCCCCAGACAGGGGTAGTTGCCAAAAGCACTCTGCTCATGGGAGTTGCAGGTTCTGAGCTCCTTGTTGAACAACGTCCTCTCGGCATGCAGTCGATTCTCCCGCTCTACCAAGTCGGATTCCGTCTACACAAGAGAACAACAACAACATAAACACACAACGCTGGAGTGACAACAACAATAACCTTCTTCAGCGTCATCTCCATCATTTGTATATTCTCCTTAGCCTCGTGGATCTGGTATTCAGCCTCGTCAGTGGGCAGCATCTAAAGCCCCACCAAGCTCATCAACATCCCTCCTCACGAACACCTCACATCCGCCAATCCTAGTATCTTAGTATTAGTGTCCTCATCCTGGACCATAGCAGACGAGGAGGAAGAGACCTCAGGTGCAGCAGTGGCGTTCCCCTCCGTATTCGCACGAGCTCGGCGTATTCTCAAGAGCCTGTTAGCCCACTCCTATCGACTTCCACTATAGCAGGTCTACTACTTCCTATACTGTGTCTTCTCCTCGTCCAGCTGTGCCTTAAAGGACTGTAGCCTCTTATGGGCATCCAGAATGCTCTTCTCCTCTGTACCCCCCTTCCAGTGATGCCCAGTGGCACTGAGCCCATACACAATGGTATCTCTTCGACTCAATAGGCTCGGCCCACCTCCTAGTAGACGGCATGAGCTTCCCCAACCGTTCGGCTTGTTGCTGCAACTCCTTTTTGTTTTCCAAATGCATTCGCCTGAGGTACACCGACACCGGTTAACTCAGTCGCTAATCCAACACGTACTGTGACATCTGTTTGAGTATTTCCCTCATGTTAGCGGCAGCTCGCTTAAGGGTGTCTCTGAAGTCCTTCACTTCTTGAATGTGTCTTGACAAAGGACATCCTCAGTCCTGAGCACCGACAACGTCGTCTACCTCTCGCGTTCACCAATAAGGCTCTCATTAAAGGACTGACAGTCCAACAGCTCCCTCCTCAGTCTGACACCACTCCCAATAGACACGGCCCTCCACCCCAAGGGGCGGCCCACTTTTGAATGTCATGAGCAGTAAGCGATAGTTCATCGTCATCCATCGAGCCTTTCGAATCAGAGGCCTCCCCACTGTCACTGGACCTTGCCCCTGCCCAGGGGAACTCGACAAGCTCCATCACCGGCGAGCTCGGCGCCGTCTAA